CTGCTGAGCCGCACGGTTGCGAGGGACCCTGCGTTCAAGCAGGAGGTGGAGGAGGCAGCGGACTGGCACGGCCAGGCGCCCGTGCTGCTGGCTAAGCCCATGGTGAGAGGGGGGTTGTGGTGTGCGGGATGTGGGGTGCGGGATGTGGGGTGCGGGATGTGGGGTGCGGGATGGGAGGTGGGGATGTGGGGTGGGGATGTGAGGTGGGGATGTGGGGTGGGGATGTGGGGTGGGGATGTGGGGTGGGGATGTGAGGTGGGGATGTGGGGTGGGGATGTGAGGTGGGGATGTGGGGTGGGGATGGAATGCTACTGCACAGCACAATGCTTCCCGTCTCTCCCCTGCCCCCTCCTTTCCCCCAGGTGCGACCGCGCGCCCTCCTGGAGGCTCTAGAAGACGCGCTCCTGCTCCTCCACAGTGACGACCACACTCCCTTTTCAACCTACCTACCCACAATACTCCTGACCCCCCCTCTTTTCCCTCAGGTACAACCGCGGGCCCTCCTGGAGGCCGTAGAGGATGCGCTCATCCTGCTCCCCGGCAACGCCCATGCACTCTGTCACATCATCCTCCTTAACCACTAACCGCCCTCCCCCCCCTACCCCCCCTCCATCCCTCAGGTACGGCCGCGGGCCCTCCTGGAGGCTCTAGATGACTTGCTCATCCTGCTCCCTGGCAACAACAACCACGCTCTTGCGCACCTACACATCACACCATCCTCCCTTCCATACCCCCTCATCCCCACTCTGTCCCTCAGGTACGGCCGCGGGCCCTCCTGGAGGCCCTAGAGGACGCGCTCATCCTGCTCCCGGGCAACGACCACGCGCTGTCAGACCTGCGGGGGGCGGCGCATGGAAGTGAGGAGAAGGACAAGCAGGCGGCGGAGCAGGCACTCAAGGAGGGCGCGGGCGCCATCGACCGGGCTGCAAGGGGAGGCGCGCTGCAGGGCCGCGTTCTCATTGCTGACTGCAACGCTGTGAGTGGCAGTTGCTTTTGAGTCGGTTTGGAGCCATCGAGCGGGCTGCAAGGGGGAGGGCACTGCAGGGCAGAGTGCTCATTGCTGACTGCAACGCCATGAGTGCCTTGCACCCCAAGGGTCTTTCTCTCTTGAACTGCGCAATGCGTCGGCATGGAAATGTCTCTTCTCAGCACTGCCTGCCACTTCATTTACTTTTGAAATCACACAACAAGACCCTCCCTTTCCCTCCCCACCTCCTCTTTCCCTCCCCACCTCCTCTTTCCCCACTCTCTCCTCTCTTCCCTCGCACCTCTGGCCTCCCTCTCTGTCTCCTCTTCCCCCCTCCCCCCTCCCCCCCTCCCTTTTTCCCCTTCCCTCTTCTGTCCCCAATCTTTCTCTCCCACTTGTTTCCCTCCCCCTTTGTTTCCCTCCCGCCTGTGTCCCTCCCCTCTCTTCCCCTCATGCAGGCGGATCGGAAGGTGGTGGAGAGGCTGTGTGTGGCCATGGGGCTGGCAGTGGAGGGGGTGAGCTCAGTGGTACGAGGCATGGAGAGGAACCAAGCCACTGCCTTCGACCTTGTTCTTATCAACCTTGAGGTGCGTGCATGGCACTTGCATGCGCGCCCGTTGCACGGGTGCATGTGTTGAGGTGGTGTGGTTGTTGGCTAGCTAGTAGCACTGCAGTGGTACGAGCCATGAGGAGAGGAACCAAGCCACTGCCTTCGACCTTGTTCTTATCAAGCTTCAGGTGCGTGCCTGCACACAAGCTCTCTTTGCCTTCACATTCCTTCACACCAGTTTGTTGGTTCCCTTCGCCCCAACTGCTTAACCTCGCGCTGGAAACCGTTAAAGGCTGGCCAACCTACTCACCCAATGCTGCCACACACGCTCGAATTCCCGTTCGTCGAAGCTAGAACGTCCGTCCTTTCCTTTTCGCGCTCTTTCTCCTTGTCCTTGCAGTTTGTCTTTCGCTGTGTTTTTATTTTTTGTCCCGACCACCCTTTTTCCGTGTGACATTGTTGTCGTGTCGTGTGTGTGGATGCGGTTGTGTGCAGATGCCCGGAGTGGACCTGCCAGCAGTGCTGCAGGCTCTGCAGACGGACCACCGCCGGCGAGGGGCCACTCGCGCTCTCATTGTCATGGGCATGGTGAGAGAGAGGCAGGGGTGGGTGGGTGTGGTGACAGGGGGGACAGGGGTGGGCATGGTGAGAGGGGGACAGGGGTGGGGGGGTGTGGTGAGAGGGGGGCAGGGGTGGGCGTGGTGAGAGAGGGCAAGTGGAGGCATGTTACAGCTGCATCCTACTCAAAAGCTTCGTTGAAGGCTAGCATTCGGACTTCCCCAACACCCTATGACCCACCCGTCAAATTCTATCTTCATATGCCCACTTCTTACTCCCATTCTCATGCTCATGGCCGTGCTTATGCCCATGCACATACCCGTGCCCGTGCCCATGCCCATGCCCATGCCTGTGCCCATGCCCGTGCCTGTGCCCATGCCCATGCCTGTGCCCAACCATGCCTATGCCGATTCCCATGCTCCCTGCCGTATGGTCCCCCCAGTCCACAGGCCTTAATGAGCAGCAGCGGTCGGCTTACATTGCAGATGGCCTTTCAGGTACCACCCAGCAACCTACCAACTCCAACACATGCATCCATCCCGTCTTTTTCTTCCCTAGCCCAGACCAGCGTCTCTAGCTGCCTGCCGTTACGACACGAGTGTGCAGACCGGCTTCTCTAGCAGCTGTCTGCGTGCACTTATAGGCTGGCCCTCGTGCTCCTCTGAACTGCTAGCGAGCATCGACCGATCTCACTTGGCCACACTTTTCCACCTTTCAGTGCAAGCAAGCACCGCACCTGCCTCTCTTGCCTTTTCACCACGTTCCTCTCTGTGCTCCTGTCTCTTCTCTGCCTCTACCCTAGTCCAATCTTGTCTCAAAGCCACCCGTCAGAAAACCTTCATGCGCCTCTGTGTTCCCTCCCTGTTCCCCACCCTATCCCTCCGCCACCCCCTTCCCCTCTTTCCCCCACTTCCCCCACTTGTGCAACAGAGGCTCTGCCCAAGCCGTTCACCATTGGTGCACTGGAGTCTCTTCTTCGCTCCTTTCTGCCCGCGCAGTGATTGTAGCTGCCCAGAGCAGGAGGGAGGGAGGATGCATGCCAGGTGAAGGCGCACAAGTGTCGAGTGGACAATGCTAAGGAGGGTGTGGTTGGGTGGGTGGGAGACTAAGGGCAGTAACATCAAAGTAGCCTAGTAAAATTGCCTTGCCGTGACCAGAAATTGTCTCAGTTGGGGGACTGTTTGAGCTGGGAATGGAATGGACGGGGTGCATTCACTGGGGTGTGGTCAACAGAGTCTGACTTGCTGATCTGACTACTCCTCCCCATGTGAACTGTACAGTTTAAAGGAAACTAACGTAGATAGGTTATTTCTAGATACATGCTTTCTGTAGATTTGTCACATTCTTGTGAACCAGGGCAGCTTCGGCTGAGTAATGCACATTTCGTTTTGCTGAGACTGCAACACACTCCAACTCGAATCTACCATGTAAAACCCAGTCAGGACGTTTTAAATAGTATTTTATATGTTCCATGCCATAAGGGCGCGTGTGATCTATTCCCAAGTTCGGAAAAAAGGTCGAGCCTTGTAAGGTTACCCGTTTCGCGAATGTCGTCAAAAGGCTTTGGCGGAGACATGAGAATTTTGCGGGCACATACCCGTAAGTGCGAATGTCAAATGTAAACTCAACTCGAATCACACGGGTGAACGTGCGGGTGCACGTCGAGGCGAGTGTGTGTTATTTTCAGCAAGTACGAATTCCTTGCGAAAATAACGACTGTGTCGGGAAGGTCGCGGAGCTTCGTTGTGCGGTGTGTTGACCTGGCGCGCTGTACCAGGTAACCTACACCTCCCACGGGCGGCTCTTCGCCTTCCCTAAAAGGTCGAATCTCTGTGTTCGACCTTGGGTGTGTGATTGTGACTCGTCTGTGTTGGAGACCCAGGATTCGAACTTAGCTGCAAGGAAAGTCGAGTTTTGTTCGCCCTACGTTCAAATGCTACATTCGACCTAAAAACATCAACTTTCACAAATTTGTAAGACCACACGCGCCCTAAATACCAGTAACACTACGAGTTTCCATTTGCACAGCGGGGCTGCCGTTTCCCACCTTGCCGTTTCCGTCTTGGGGCATGGGAGCTTTCTCCTGCAGCAATGCACTAAGGCTAATTGTTCTCCCACCAATGTCTCCTGTGCTTCCTGTCTCCCCTGCTGCTGTTACCGGTACAATTGCTTCTCCAAGTGCCTGTGCATTTCCTGCAGCCGCTTTTTCCCTGAAGATGTGAAACATACCTTGATGGGGATTACTGTACACTGATGCATGGTTCGGAGGAACCAGGTTGTACAGTAAACCCAGCGCCAGTGCACCCAGCAGCGGCCCGACCAAAAATACCCATACGTCCTCCCACAGAACCCCAGCCTCGGACCCCAAAGCAGCTGCTGGGCCGAAGCACCTGGCTGGGTTCATGCCAACACCAGTGTACCCAGGCGGAGCAATAGCTCCAGAGATGAAAATCAGGAGGGCTAGAACCGTCCCTATGAGGCTCGGAGCAATGATTGGGCCGAACAGTGCGCCTTGAGTCTGGTCCAGAGCAACCCCGAAAGCCACGAAAAGAAGCGCGAAGGTGAAAACTGATTCGTTAAGTAAGCCCTGTGCCATGGATATTCCCGATGGGGGAGAGAGTGGTGGAGGCAGGGTGGTTGATATGGGACCGTAAGAAGATGTGCTGTTAGTGAAGGGAACAGGAGGAGGAGGGACGGAGGATTGAGGGAGCGAGACTGTGCAGCCTGTAAGGAGGTATTTTGTAACGAGTACAGAAGGCAGCATTCCGCGAGCACAAGCCGCGCCGAGCACGCTACCAACAAACTGCGCCGTAATGTAAAGCGCAGCGCGAGGGAAGGATGTGAGACCAGCAAAGAACGTAGCGATGGTGATGGAGGGATTGACGTGACCGCCTGAAGCGGGAGCCGTGGCGAGGATGTGAAGAGTTAAAAGGAGCCCGTTGACGAGGCCGATGGCGAGAGGGAGGTGAAGGAGGAGTTGAGGCAAGAGGTGGTGGCAATGACGGAGAGGCAGACGATCGACGCCGTGCCCACAAGCTCGATAACGGCCGCGCGCCATACCTGTGAAGGAACGAAGAAATGTTCATGTGGAGAAAGGACGACCTCAGAGCTCCGAATTGCAAAAAACGTACCATCCCGACAATCGCAATGCACGAGAGAACGCACCTCGCTGGAGAACCAGTCGTTGAGACCCAGCGCGCGAGCGAGAGGCCCGTGGAAGGGAGCTCGACGGCAGCGGCCATGTGGCGTGCGGCGCTCGTCCGTCGCATACGGCACGAGCGACGCCTCGAACGGCGCTGTGCGAGCGTCGTCTTCGTCCATGCGACTGCGAGCATCTGTGTGACAGTCGGCCACACCGACTGCACGATCGTGCGACGCCAACCTATCGGAGTCGATATCCATGTTTGTTGGACTGGTCATGTCGGGGGCACTCACACCTGAATTATACTGTCTGAGTTTTCGACTGCAGTCGCAGGGCGAGCCAATGGAAGCACTGTTCAGGCTAGTCTTCTCGTATTTTTTCTTCTAACGGAGTCCGTTGGCCTGGATGTTGCAGATCGCGTCTAATTGGCCAACACCAGAGGAGGCAATGCGGCAAAGAGTCTCGCGGACTCTAGCATTCTTGCTCAGAGGAGATAGGACTTACGAAAGGGTTGTGGTGTTGGTGCGGGGAGACTTGAGACTGGAGACGAGAGAGCCGGAATTTAGAGGTTTAGGTCGAGTGCGAGAGGGTGACAGGCGCGGCGCGAGGATGGCCCCCTATGGAAGTGTCGCGATTCAAGAAGATTCTGTCCGTAGTTTCCTGGTGGCTTCGAGTGTCATGTGCGCTGTCGGTTAATGAAAGCACCTGCTATGTATATGTATATACATGAAATTAAAGGGTTTTACGCCAAGACGCCTTCCATCTGATGTAACCTGTATATATTATTTATCTTTTAGTCCATAATCAAATATAAACTTATTTTGTATTTATATTTTTGTATTTTATGTTGGAATATGCTCCTTTATGAGTGCGCCATGGCTTAAGGTGAGAAATATTATGTAGTGATCCGTCCGTATGAGTCTGCAACAATCAGCTTTGCCAACATAATAACAGGGCGCTCTTTGCGAGAAACTGGACCAGCCTCCTCCCATTTCTTCCAATTCCGTGAAACCAGGAGATGCGACAACCACCCACCCACCATCACCAGCCATCCTGCCTGTCCATCTCCGACGATCACCCACCCACATCTCCACCTCACAGCGCGCCGCTCCAACTTTATTATCACGCTCGCCACGCCACCACCCTCTCACCCCGCCGCCGCGCCATGCTCTCGAGCTCCTCTGGTCAGCCACACCAATTGCTGCGCTGACCCCTGCTCCGTCGTGGTTGCATTGCACATCGACCTGTCCATTCCTGTCCGTTGTAACAGCCATCACAACAGCGCAATGCCGCTCTAAGCGTGCGGTAATCTAATGCGCTGCTTTGCACGGTCAAGGCGATTCTAAGCGTGCGGTAATCGATTGCAGCTCACTCCCACCTAATCAGCGCGTAGTAGGGGCCCATGATAACGCGTACAAGTCTTGCGACGCCTCAATTCCTGCACGTTAGCAAGATGTAAAGCACTTAAGAAAACTGACCTCTAATTCTCCGAACAGCACTTTTTCCCCTGCACACTCTACTCTTCTAATTCAACTGACATTTTTTTGGCATTGTTGTGGTAACCACCATGGATGCACGGAATCAGCAAAGCTCAGGAAACAAGTCACAGCCGTCTAGACTGACCGCCGCCACCTTAGCAGCAGCCGCCGCCGCCGCCGGAAGCGGCGCGAGCGACGGCCGACCTTCCTCCAGCATGCCTCGAACCGGCCAAGGCGGAATAATGCCTAATTTCGCAATCGCGCTCGTCCTTAATCTCGCGGCGCTTCTGGAAAAGCTCGACGAGGCGCTTCTTCCGGCCGTGTACCGCTCCCTAGCGCCGTCTCTTAATCTCCACTATTCCGCGCCGGCATTCTCCCTGGGAACCCTGGCGTTCTATAGATGCCTCGTGCAGGCGCTGGCAGCGCCGGCTGCGGTGTATTTAGCGGAGCGGGGGGACCGCGTCGCGATTATCGGCGCGGGGGCGGTGGCGTGGGGTGTGGCAACTGCTGCGGTTGGCATGGCATCGACCTACTGGGGGGTGAGCGCAAGGGGGGGCGGAGGGCGGAGAGGACGGGAGAGAGGACGGGGCAGAGGGCGGGGGAGAGGACGGGGAGAGGACGGGGCAGAGGGCAGGGAGAGAAGGGAGGTGGTGAGGAGGGTGAGAAGAAAGGCATCACATGGTTTGGAGCGACTTGTCCTGCATGCTCTCTTTCCTCCTCACCAGCCCATTCTCCCCTCCACGCCGCATGTCCCCTTCTCACTCCCACCCTTTTGAGAGCCCTCAAAAGTGATTCCAGTAATGCCTCCACCTTCTTTCTTGCATTCCCTCCCTCTCCTTCCCATCCCCCCTCTTTCCGCCTCTCTCCCCCTCATCTTCACCATCCCCTCCTCCCAATCACCCCTCCCTCCCTCCCTCCCTCCCTCCCTCCCCGTCCCTGCTCCCCCCTCCCCCAGGTGGCCATAGCGCGAGCAGCGAGCGGTATCGGTCTCGCCCTAGTCCTCCCCTGCATCCAATCTCTCCTCGCGGACCTCTCTCCAGAGCACCACAGATGCCTTTTGAGGCGCCTCAAAACCTGTCCCCCGCGCCCCCCTCCTGCAGGTGGCCATAGCGCGAGCAGCGAGTGGCATCGGTCTCGCCCTAGTCCTCCCCTGCATCCAGTCCCTCCTCGCGGACCTCTCACCAGAGCACAACAGAGGCGCAGCCTTTGGTGTCTTCCAGGCGTCCTCCCACATGGGCTTGCTGCTGGGGGCCGTGGCCGCGTCTGCTCTCGCTGGCCGGGCTTTGCTAGGGCTGCCGGGGTGGCGGGCGGCGTTCCATCTCGTGGCTCTGCTCAGTGTTGTGTTCGGCCTGCTGCTGCTCTCCCTCTCCTCCTCCTCCTCATCCTCATCTTCCTCTGCCGCCTCCTCTGCTGCTTCCCCATCAACCTTCTCCTTTTCCTTCTCCACCTCCTCCTCCTCGCGGCCCTCCTCTTCGTTTGTCCCGTCTGCTCTGGGGCTGTTCTCCCGTCCCTCCCACACGTCACACTCCGCCGCTGCCTCTGCCGCTGCCTCTGCTTCCGATTCGCTCCCAGTCTCCGCTGTAGCGGCTTCTGCAGGTGCTGCACCTGCAGCAGAAGGAAGAAGCACCGCGGAAGCATGGATCTCTGCTGTGTCTAGGTGGGTGGACAGGGAGAGGGTAAGGTGAAAGGAAGGGGGGGGGGGGCGAGGAGGGGGGGAGAGGGGGGAGGGAGGGTGGGAAGAGAGGGGAGAGAGGGGAAAGTAGGGAGGGAGATGCTCGTAGGAGCATGGCAGCACGGAATCACGAATCGCGTGTGTATGCGGTTTTCGAGGGATTTTAAAATGGGTCAGTGGGCAGGGAGGGTTGCAGAAGGTTGGGGAGAGTAAGTGCAAGTGGTTATCGCCTTAATGATTGAGCCATGCCCTCGCTCCCCGCTTCTTCCTCCTCTGGTGCTGCTCACAAGTCGTGGCTGAAAGTTCTCCACCGCTCCCCTGTGCTCTTTGCCTGTATGTGTAACTAACACCCCCTCCCGGTCAAACACATCAGAGCGGATCCTACGCCCGGGGTGTGGAGGAACGAGCCTCTCTCCTCGGCTGTGGACGATCTATGGCAGAAGCTGCGCCACGTGGCGTCCATCCGCACGTGCCAGCTCATCATGCTCCAGGGTGTGGTCAGCCAGGCCCCATGGAGCGCGCTGCTCTTCCTGTCCATGTGGCTTGAGCTCATTGGCTTTGACCCATCGCGAGCAGCAGAGCTGGTGGGTGGCTGGGTGTGCGTGCATGCGGGTGTGTTGCGTGCATACTTGAGTGTGTGTGTATGGCTTTGCCGGTGCGCACCTGTGTGTCATGTGAAGTTATGCTACCGTTTCCTCATATGCTCCAGTCCCTTGCACCTCCACCCAACTCAATGTACCCTCCACACGATGCCACCCACCAGCACATGCCTCCCACTCTCCCACCCCACCTCCACCCCACATTCCGCCAACACCCCTGCACCCGCTCCCCAGGTATCCCTCCTTTCTCTGGGCTTTCTTCTGGGCTCTCTCACAGCAGGCTGGGTGGGCGACAGGGCATCTCAGCACATCCCGCACCTGGGCCTGGGGCGCATTCTGTGTGCCAACATCAGCACTGGCGTTGTCGTGCTGCTCTCTGTGCTGCTCCTCAATGTCTTCCCGCCCTCGCCTGCTGAAGCTGCCGCTTCTGCTGTCGTCTCTTCTGGTGCTGCTGCATTGCCGGCTTCCTCTGGTTACTCTGCCTCCTCCTCTTCCCCCTCCTGGGGCTTTCTGGTGCTTTGGGAATCAGCACCGCACGCACTGCTCTTCTGTCTAATTGGGTTTGCAGCTTCCTGGCCGCTTCCCTCCTGCAACCTTCCCATGCTCTCAGAGGTGAGGCAGCTTCACCTTGACTAGAGCAGCCTATTGCGGAAATCCCTTATAATAATCACTTCTATGCATAGCAAATCATTAATATGCAGTGGCGCAAGCACAAGCACAAGCACAAGCACTAGCTGATTTAGGTGCTTCTATGACCTTTTATCCGACTAACCTCTATCAGACTCGGTTTCAGTCAGGCCCTCAAATTGGCGTTGTACCATTCTAAACCGCATGAAACCACCTCATGTTTGCCACTGCACAGCAGTACGCGTCTGATACGAGGTGTGTGAAAAAAGGTCGTAGAAACGCTTTCGCACACCACCCCTCCCCCCCCCCTGTGCAGCAGACATGGCTCTGGGGCGCCTGTCAGCCGTGTTAGGAGGGCCAGCAGTGGGGCTGACAGCCCTTGAGGTACCCCCAAAAGCTGCTCCTTTCTTCCCCTTCTTCCTCCCTCCCCCTCTCCAGGTGGTGCCGTCTCGCCTGCGCACCACAGCCTATGCAGCAGACATCGGCACTAGGGCGTCTATCAACCGCTTTTGGAGAGCCAGCAGTGAGGCTAGCAGCCTTTTAAGGTCCCAAAGGGGTGCCTAGAAAACCTGATTTCCCTTTTTCGCCCGTCCTGCCCTCTCCTCCCCCTCGCTAGGTGGTGCCCTCTCGCCTGTGCACCACAGCCTATGCAGCAGACATGGCACTAGGGCGTCTATCAGCCGCATTCGGAGGGCCAGCAGTGGGGCTAGCAGCCATTCACCTGTACGGATTCTCCACTACTGCTGCTTCCGCCGCCTTGGCTGGTCGTTCCGGGGTGGCCTTAGCTGCTGCTACTTCCGCTCTCGAAGCCACTGGGTCTGCTTCATCCGCTGCAGCGGCAGGAGCAGCAGCAGCCACAGCAGGTGGGGTGGAAGCAGGGGTGGTAGGGGATGTACTGGGAGCAGGTGGGGCAGGCTTTACAGGTCTGGCAGCTTCAGCAGCAGCAGCTGCTGCTGCAAATGCAAAGGCGTTAGCCAAGGGCTTGTTTCTGGCGATAGCGGTTCCGTATGCGGTGAATGTGATGCTGATTGCTGCCTGCTTCTGGGCATATCCCGAGGACCGGAAGCATGCGTCGGTGGCCAATTGGGTGGATGCCTCTAGTGGGGCTGGTGCAAGCAGTGCTGGTGGTGGTGGTGGTGGTGTTCCTGCTGGTGCTGAGTCTGGTGATGCTGATGTGACAAGGACGGAAGGCAGGAAGGCTGGCAAGGCCGGGAAGGGTGAGATGGCAGACAAGGGGGAACATTGTGAGGTCTATGTGCGTGACGGTGTGGGTGGTGGTGCTACGCGGCAAGGGAGACCAGAGCATTATCAGCAACTGGAGATGCAGCTACAACAGCAGAGGCTACGGAGGAAAATGGCACTTGAGCCAGGGTCGAACGAGATGGAAACGGAATCGAGACCATTATTACGACCTCCCAATGTGTAATGAGAGTACCCCCTAATTTAAGATTGTTGTCTGGTGGGGTATTGGAGGCTGCATTTCAATATCACATCATTACTTGAATTAACAGTGGATGCTGGTGAGAAAAAGTGAGGGTACGGTAATACGGTATGTGAATAAGCCCCTGCCTAAAGTCAAATTGAGGGCCCGGCTGGAAGCACACACACCCCCACAGGATTTTAATGCTGCTGACTGGACAAAGCCACGTCACCAGCAGCGACACTCCAGAAGCGAAGGGGAGTGTTGGAAACAACTAATCTAAGCGCCTCTGTCGTGTCGAAATACCAAGACAGAAACGAAACAGATCATATCGAAACATCGGCGAGTCAACCCTCGGAGGTTGAACAACTGCTGGAGGTTTACGCGAAAGTCAAAGGTCAGCGACCTTTGACCTGACAAATACAGCGCGACAGCAAGGACAAACAACTGACTCGCTACTGAGCAGTTGCCCGAGTCGACACTGTATCGAACCGCAACAGCAACAGTAAAACGGTTATTAACCGTATCTTTTCATATTCCCTGTATTCTTATAAAAGCTTGTATCTCATTATTATTAATCAATCAACTTTGCCCTCACACACTAGCGCAAGGTGGTTCACAATCCTTTTATTAAACGCTTCCGCTATTACATCGTCCTACACTTGAATTCTGTCCTGCAAAGATCCTAAGGGCTATCTCAGCCCAACATGGTATGAGAGCAGTCAGGACAAAATCGACTACGATAAAGATATCTACAACGTCACAAGACATGGCAACACAGAAGGAGAGAAGCTCCTCTAACGGCTCTCCCGGTACTACTCCTACTCCACCTCCTACCTCTGGCCTACAGACAGAGGAGGGTACGGCAACAAGGCCAAGAGCAACATCTTCAGAAACTCCCGCAAATCAAGCTGCGGCCTTCGATCCAGACATGATGGAGAAGTTCTTCTCCTTCATGTCCTTCTACGAACAACACCAGCAAGGGGCACCTGCACAGTCAAACAACAGCAACAACAACGCAACACCGATGAGCCTCGACGGTTCATCCTACGCACGTGGAAATCAACAGCAACGGCCTACCTTTGCTCCGTACGAGCCCCAGCGTGGCTCCGTCAGCTTTATGCCACACCCGCAGCCCGCATCTGGACAAGAAAAGACATTGGACGCACTTCAAGTCCAGTCGCAGTTCGCGCACGTCTTAAAACTACAAACGACAAGGCCTTTCGACGGAAATGACTTCTTTACCTGGTCATTCGAGTTCGAGCTAATGATGGAAGGCGCGCAGATCCTTGGCTTCTTCGACGGGTCCCTGCCATATCCAACACACGGCACACAGTTCGATAAGCAGCAGTACACGTATCAGTCAATGATGGCGTGCACAATACTACTGAGAAATATCACTCCAAGTCAACAGCAGAACATACGGTCTTACCGGGGATACGGCAACTCTGCAGAGCTCGCGTACAACCACTTGAAGAACCTGTATCAAGCAACAGACAGCGTAAATCAAAGTCGGTTAATGGTGCAACTGACGACAGTCGAAATGAAACCAGGCGAAAAGGGGATGGCGTATATCAGCCGTTGTCGCGAATTGCGCGACAAACTCCTTCGATGCGGAGGGTCGATTTCAGAAGACACCTTCGTCACAGTCATCATCGGCGGCCTCGGTCCTCAGTGGCGCTCCACCCGCGCCATACTCCGAGCGCATGGAAAGATATCAGAAGCAGCACTCTGCGCCGAAATCCACGCTGAGCAGCAAGATATGGACCTACAAGAAGAACGACACAAAAGGAAGACATCAGTGCCCGAATTCGCATTTCACACTCAACGGCGGTACAACAACAACAACTATCGGCATCAACCGAAAACAGTACCTCCGTTCTGTCACCTTTGCAAGATGTCAGGGCATCCTCGCTCACACTGCCCTAACCGACAACAGTCAGTACCAACGCAGCGGCAGCTTCGGTCTTCAAGCAGTCAAGTTGCCTCAACGCAAGCGAATTCGACATCTCAAGTACAAGTCTCAACAACATCGACGGGACAACCTGCGCAAGGAACAAGAAACATCGTCAGTTGTATGACACGGCTGACCGATTCCTACATCACAGAGTCACCACCATATTACTCACCGGAAGAGCAACTCGACAACAGCACGTCTCGCCGCGAGTCACTTCAACCAAATCCGACCTATGCAGCCATCGCTCAAAGCGAACCGTCCGGAAAAGATACGTGGTTCTTGGACAGCTGCTGTGGACAACATATGTGCTCTTCAGAACGTTTTGTTCAACGTGAACACCAACTTCAACGCGAGGTTGTCATCACCGTCGCCAACAATCAGAACCTGCGCACACGACGACAAGGCGTAGTGCAACTTCAGTCACGAGAGACAAACGTCATACTGCAGATGTCAAAGGTTTTGATAGCAGAAGGACTCGGTTACAACTTACTGAGTGTCAGTCAACTGATGGCGAAGGGCATCCACCTCGAAGCAAATAGTACCACTCAGGAGTTCAAATTATACCACGGAAAAGGTGGTCTCTACATCGGGAAGGCGGTCCTGAAAAACAACGTCTTCGTCCTCGACTTCGTCCCAGATCTTGGCACTGCCGACAGCGACGGGATCGTCACCTTCACCTCTTGGACACATCCACCTGATCTTGACCCTGACTTCAGTCCAGAAGGCTTCTGGTACTCGCACACCATCCCTGAGGCAGAATGAACAAGAGCATTAGCAACAATTCAACACTCGGCAGCAGCAGAGACAACACAGGCAGCAGCAGAAACAACATCGGCAACAGCAAACACAGCATCAGCAGCGGCAGAAACAACAGCAGCAGCAGCAGCAGCAACATCGACGCCAATCGCTGGTCCTTCAACTACACCGGCTCAAGTTGATGATACTCCACCAACTCCCGCGCAACAGCTTCACCCAAAATTAAGAGAAGTACATCGAAGTGCAAACTTCACCGCAAGCTTCTACTCCAACTCCGACTTGTATCGTCGCTCACCCGGACATCGCGCTAGCGAAGACATCTGGCACGCACGAATGGGACATCCAAGCAACACAGTGTTAAATAACACAATCCGAGCAGGAGTACTCGACAAAGATTCACTGCTTCTAACCGATGGAACCGAACTTCGACGAGCTCGTGGAACGTGCTTTACTTGTCCCGAAGCTGACTTACCACATCGACCATTTACTTCTCACCACAACCCCAGCGCACCAGCTTACGCACCACTTGAGAAAGTGTACAGCGACATCCTGTACAATCGCGAACCTGGACAAGGAGCATACAGCTACATAGTCACATTCATCGATGCCGCTACGCGTTACGTTTGGCACCTTAATCTTCCGAGCAAGGACATGACCTTCGAAGCCTTCATCGCTTGGCTCCCAGTAGCAGAACGAGAATCAGGCGTGAAACTCAAAAGCTTCCAGTCTGACGGAGGAGGAGAATACACCTCACAGAGGTTCAAGCAGTTCTTGGCAGAAAAGGGAATCAAGGGGCTCATCTCGCTTCCTTACGCCCATCAACAGCAAGGCGTGGCGGAACGGATGAATCGAACTCTCCATAACACCATGCGCAAATTACTGCATGGCATGCGACTGCCCAATCACCAGTGGCCTGAAGCGATGGACCACGCTGTCATGCTGCACAACTTGCTTTCGTCGTCATCACTGCCGAACAACGCATCACCGCACCTGCTGTGGACAGGAAAACAGGGCAGCACAAAAATGTTAAGGGTTTTCGGATGCATGGTACAGTAACGACCCCCATCTGCACTAGCCGGCCGATTTTCCCAACGCGCACAGTGGGGACTACACCTGGGCATCGAACAAAATTACAACGCGTGGAAGATTTTCGACGTCCACTCCAAAGAAACAGTAGCAGCACGTGACGTCATCTTCTACGAACGACTCACCCTTCCGACATATCTTGCCAACCTGGAAGAAAATCGGGATCCCACAGGTGGCTTCCGTGGTGATCGACACTTCGCCTCGGCAGCAGACGAAGCTGACTGGGACGAGCAGAACGTGGATAACGCCTCAGAAGAAGCAGGACCACTCCCATACTGCTCCGTGCCTATCCCGATAGACGACGAAAATCCTCGCGAAAGTGTCAACACCGAAACTTATTTCGAATTCGCCGACACCAGTTACATTACACCTGCAGAAGTCAACACCAACGAAGCAGAACGCATAGGGCCCAATTTCATACCTGACCAAGAAGCAGGTGACGAAGCAGCTTATCCTGAGGACACAACACTCCCCCGCTACACACAGAGTGGCCTTCAGATACTCGGCCTAGTCACCGCGGTCCACGGCACCGAAACTCCTAAGGAGCCTGCCACAGTTCAGCAGGCTCTGGGGGGGGAACATAGGGAAAAATGGCGTGAAGCCATGGACAAGGAACTCGAAGCACTGAAGGAGCGCAACACCTGGAAAGTGGTCCCTATCGGCGTGGCACGAAACAAGACAATATTCACCGGGAAGTGGGTCTTCCGTGTGAAGACGAAAGCAGACGGTACCATTGACAAGTTCAAGGCACGATGGGTCGTACGCGGCTTCGACCAAGAGTATGGACGTGACTTCACCGAGACATTCGCTCCGGTCAGCCGACACACTTCACTACGGGTTCTTCTCGCGATCGCCGCTATGAAGGAAAAGAAACTGCGGCAAATCGACGTCGCCAGCGCTTTTCTCTACGCACCTATCGACGCAGAAATCTACGTCGAACTCCCACACGGTTCCCATGGAGAGCCCAATCAAGTCTGTCAGCTGCAAAAATCCCTGTACGGGATCAAACAGGCCCCGAGACTATGGCAGCAGTACCTACACGCTCGACTCACTCGCATCGGATTCCGGCAGCTACCTCACGACCAAGGCATGTACCGGCTCACGAAAGGCGACGACTACATTCTATTGATTGTCTACGTAGACGATCTACTCTACATCGGATCGACCGACAACGTTACTACCTGGTTCGAAGGGGAGCTACAAAAGGACCTCACGCTCACAGTATCATCTACCGTCACGCAGTACCTGGGCCTCAACATCCAAGAAGAAGGCGCGATCTACCTCAACGCCGCAAAATATGCCGACACCATCGCCAAACGCTTCGCACTCACGCCAACTACCATCTCCACGCCATACCGCTACACGGCAGGAAGTCACAAGGAAGAATCCGCTCCACTAAAGCCCGCCGGCATACGCAACTACCAGAGAAAGCTGGGATGTCTTCTCTTTGCGGCCGTTACCTGCCGCCCGGACCTATCATACTCCGCAAGTCAACTCGCCACCCACCTCAAAAGGCCTGAAGCTGAACACATGGCGGAACTAGACCGCGCCCTTCACTACCTCGTTAGTACTCCGACGATCGGCCTAATATACTACAAGAGCAAAACTACAACGTCCAAGCTAATCGGATACGTCGACGCCGACCACGCCGGAGATCCCGACAACAGGCGCTCGCGCACAGGCTACATCTACCGCCTCGAGCCTATCGGACCTATTTCATGGCAGTCGAGCAAACAGGAATTAATCGCTCTCTCCCCAGCTGAAGCTGAATATATCGCACTCTGCTCAGCCACCAAGGAAGGACTGTATCTTCGCGAACTTCTGGAGGAAGCGAAGCTGGCCCAGTTACCCAGCTTCTCCTTATTCTGCGACAACCAGTCGGCAATTCGCATAGCCAACAAAAATGGATTCGCAAACAGGACGAAGCATATCGCCCTGCGATATTTCTTCGTGAAGGACGAGATCGAGAAGGGGAGACTTGAGCTGTCTTACTGCCCCACATCCGAGATGGCAGCTGATTACTTGACCAAGAAGCTCGGAAAGTCGAAGTTCGAATATTGCATGCTGCTGACTGGACAAAGCCACGTCACCAGCAGCGACACTCCAGAAGCGAAGGGGAGTGTTGGAAACAACTAATCTAAGCGCCTCTGTCGTGTCGAAATACCAAGACAGAAACGAAACAGATCATATCGAAACATCGGCGAGTCAACCCTCGGAGGTTGAACAACTGCTGGAGGTTTACGCGAAAGTCTAAGGTCAGCGACCTTTGACCTGACAAATACAGCGCGACAGCAAGGACAAACAGCTGACTCGCTACTGAGCAGTTGCCCGAGTCGACACTGTATCGAACCGCAACAGCAACAGTAAAACGGTTATTAACCGTATCTTTTCATATTCCCTGTATTCTTATAAAAGCTTGTATCTCATTATTAATCAATCAACTTTGCCCTCACACACTAGCGCAAGGTGGTTCACAATCCTTTTATTAAACGCTTCCGCTATTACATCGTCCTACACTTGAATTCTGTCCTGCAAAGATCCTAAGGGCTATCTCAGCCCAACAGTCTGGTGGGGTATTGGAGGCTGCATTTCAATATCACATCATTACTTGAATTAACAGTGGATGCTGGTGAGAAAAAGTGAGGGTACGGTAATACGGTATGTGAATAAGCCCCTGCCTAAAGTCAAATTGAGGGCCCGGCTGGAAGCACACACACCCCCACAGGATTTTCATGGCTGGACTGGAATGCTATTCTTGCTGTTACCTAATGCATACCGTAATTTACGGTCTAAGAGCCTCACTTCTGGGGCTTGAATTATTTAAACTCTGAATGATGAGGAAGGAGAGGTTGAGATGAGAGGAAGGGTGGAAGAGGGATGGAGGGGGTTAATGGAGAGGGGAGGGGAGACAAGAATCTACAGAATTACACGCTGTCCCACTATGACCACCCTCCCCTCCCTTCCCCACGACCCCCCCTCTCCCATCCTCCCCTTCCCCCATTCATCTAAGCAAGGGGGAGTGGAAGGGAAATGATGGTGAGGGCTCCTTATAAGCGGTACAGAAAACACACACGAAACTGTAGGAAGAACGACCTGGAAATTGTAAGAAGCTAACACCTCAACACACGATAATCCATCATATTAGAAGAAGAGAGTATAGAGACCCATGGTCATACAGCAGACAGCAACCCATGGACTGAGTCTTTCCCCTGAGAACCAGAAAGGAGCAGCAATCACAAGCAGGATGGGAGAGGTTGAAACAGGGGGGTCGCAAAATCAATCATTGAATAGAAGAAAACAAAGAGATTCTCTGCTGTACTGAAGTACCGTAGATTTTTTTCCCAAAAATGAAAACCCAAACACGTGCCAACGTTTCAGACATCAGTGAACCAGAGGCATGAATTCTCACCTATTCTTGCTGCTTTCCAAAAAAAGCCACGGAACCTGCATGTTGGATTGGTGACACAAAGAGTGTTAGATTACTTTGCGGCACAAACCAGCGAGGAGTGACTAGCAGATTGTAGGATAATGTGCGATTTTTGGTTGCTCTAAGAGGAAGCTTACCCTGTTTTTTGTTGCAGCAAGTTTGGAAAATGAATCTTCACGTAAGTGCAAGTGCAGATGACCAGCAGCACCACAGAGAGAAAAGCTTGAAAGTCGAAGAGGGCGGACTGCACGTGTACGGGACGGAGGGAAGTAAGGGAGAGGTAAAGGCAGGAGAGAGAGTAAACAACTTACTAATCTACCGGAAAGGTGCCTGGTGTCTACAACAGCCAAACCAGAGCCGTGTAAGGCCATTAAACGTAGGATGCAAGCAATTTCGTGTGCACTGCCATGATCATTTACTGGAAATGCGGATTAGAATGAAGTCCCACGAGGCGTCTGAATATGGAAGCGCATCGAAACGAATCATACGGCTACATGGACAACCCAACAACCGCCAACTCACAGACGATAAGGGTGCAACTCCGTTAATCACGACTCACCATAGCGGCTTGATGGAACGGACCTCGAAGGTTGCGGAATAGAACACCAGCAACTGACGATCGCTACGGAAGCTCAACCTACCACGCCTCAACTAGCTGAAACTGCTTGCAGCAATAGGTAAGCGAATCCAGCAGTCTCTATCTGGAATTAACAAGTAATAACCTGATTTGGCGAAGGGAAGTAAAACTTGTGGCTGTTTCTAAAAAAACATAGTTTCATTCGGTTCTAAAAAAGCGTAGACGTGGATCTCATTCGTTCCTGTCAGAAATCTATTCACTGGAAGGCGTCACGAGCAAGCGAGGAGGTGGTAAATGGATGGCTGACAAAAACAAAACTGCGTAAATGGAACTTTCCATAGATGTAGGGAGAACTTCTGTCAGGTGTCAGCAAATCTGCCAGCGGCTCTGAACATTATTCAATAACAAATTCTCGATATCAATGTAACGCACACTTTTGTACACTCTTTTCATGTTTCATTCCTCGCACATTCGCTCAGTGACCCACTGTGATTCGTCCATACCGTCAGGCCCCGGATAGTAGCACCCCTGGGGGTATAAAAAAACACTGTTTTTTAGGGGGTGCACTTATAATCGAGGAAATTTGTAAGCGACGGCGTTTATAAAATGGCAAAAATGAAATGTATTGTTTTAACATGAAATTGAAGCTTTTTCAAAAGAGGATTCAATCCACATCTAGAACGTTCGTTTCCGTGCATGAAAACTGCGTGAAATGGCCAACAAGGCGTGGAATCACGCCCATCACGCCTTGCTGGTTTGGCCAGATTCATCGAACATGAATCTGGCCCATGCTAGCGCACACGTAGTTTCGGGTGCGACTGCCCAATCAGGGTCGCATGCCGTGCCAGGCACGACCCTGTACAACCACGCAATTGGCATCCCCGGCAAGATTCCACTCCACCGAGGCAGTGACCTCACCACCTCAGCTCCTCTGCGGGGGGATCTTGACAGTTTTCCCCCTTTCCCTGCAGAGGAACCCGGGCCGCGAAGTTGGAGGGGTATCTTGCGAGGGTTTCAAACGAGGCTCATTCGCTTCGTTTTGTTCAGTTTTATTGTTTTCCCTCGGCCTGCCTAGGCCAGGGCTCTTGCTAGGATCTGAGGGCGTCTGATTCTGTCAGACGGGTCCCCCAGGCAAAACAATTGTTTTGTCTGATCTAGATTGGAAAATCAGATGGATATAAAAAAATGAGTCTGAAAATCAGACCATCAGACCAAAATGGTATGATAACGAGAGCCCTGGCCTAGGCCATGGCGGGCCTTCCAGGCACTCACTTCCTATTTAGCCGTCGACCTGTTGTTGGCAACACTCGCGAGTACTCTCAGTGGCAGAGTCGTCGCCCAGCGCCTCCTGCTCCTCCAGCGCCTCCTGCTCCTCCAGCGCCTCCTGCTCCTCCTGCTCTGTCAAACATATGTATAGCTATGTTATATTTTGGGTAGGCTTAGTGGGGTACACATTGTAGGGTACAACCCCTTAGGTCAATTTTCTTTTGTACCACCATCTCGATAGTCGACACTCAACCATGCCTAACTTCTAAGATGGTATCTAGAGCATAGGTCGTTAGGACCTAAGATTAGGGCCCACCGATTACTGCATTACTTCGTCTGCCTTGCCTGCTGCCCGCGCGCGCCTCGGCTACACGCGCGCGGCCTCTTTTTTTTTCCGTGCGCGCCACTTAAGAAGCCCGCGCGTAGCCCGTTTTCGGCCCCGCGCGCCACGTCAGCCACCCGCGCAGCCTGCCGTCGGCCCGCGCGCCGTGTAAGCCGCCCGTGCGCACCTGCTTAGGTCCTGCGCGCCGCGTCCGTGTAGCCCGTTTTAGGCCCCACGCGCCGTGTAGCCCGTTTTAGGCCCCACGCGCCGTGTAGCCCGTTTTAGGCCCCACACGCCGCGCCAGCCGCCCACGCAGCCTGCTGCCAGCCCGCGCGTCGCCACGAGCAGCCTGCAGCTGCGCGCGCTGCCAGTAGCCACGTGCAACCTGCAGCCTCGTGCAGCAAGCCGCCACACGCAGCCAGCAGTCCCACGCAGCCCTCAGGCCGCTCTTGCCTGCTGCCTACCTGCTGCCTGCCTGCCTGCCTGCTTGCTGCCTGCTGCCGCCTGCCTGCTTGCTGCCTGCTGCCGCCTGCCTGCAGCCTGCCTGCTGCCTACCTGCTGCCTGCCTGCTTGCTGCCTGCTGCCGCCTGCCTGCAGCCTGCCTGCTGCCTGCCTGCTGCCTGCCTACTGCTTGCTGCCTACTGCCGCCTGCCTGCTTGCTGCCTGCTGCCGCCTGCCTGCAGCCTGCCTGCTGCCTGCCTGCTGCCTGCCTACTGCTTTCTGCCTGCTGCCGCCTGCCTGCAGCCTACCTGCTGCCTGCCTGCTGCCTGCCTACTGCTTGCTGCCTGCTGCCGCCTGCCTGCCGCCTGCCTGCCTGCCTGCAGCCTACCTGCTGCCTGCCTACTGCTTGCTGCCTGCTGCCGCCTGCCTGCTTGCTGCCTGCTGCTGCCTGCCTGCTACCTGCCAGCTGCCTGCCTACTGCTTGCTGCCTGCTGCCGCCTGCCTGCTTGCTGCCTGCTGCCGCCTGCCTGCCTGCCTGCTTGCTGCCTGCTGCCTGCCTGCTGCCAGCCTGCTGCTTGCTGCCTGCTGCCGCCTGCCTGCTTGCTGCCTGCTGCCGCCTGCCTGCGAATATGGCGACGCCTAACGTTCTAGCGTTCGAGCCCGACGGACGTCCCATCGAGTTCACTGCGTGGTTAGACGATCTCCAGCTGTTCCTTCTGACTGATGCCAAAGAGGGCGTTTCCCTGTTTGATTACGTCTCTGGCACTGCCGTTACTCCTGCTGCTGATGCTCCTGCTCTAGAACGTTCCCAGTGGCAGACCCGTGATGCTGCTGCACGCCTAGCTATTAGGAACCACCTGCCGATTACTGAGCGAGCGCATTTCAGCCAGCACAGAACTGCTAAGACACTGTACGACGCTGTAGTTGCGCGCTACTCCTCCCCGGCCACTGCAGCCATAGGTCGACTCATGCTACCGTACCTGTTCCCCGATCTTTCCTCGTTCACCACTGCTGAGGACCTAGTTTCTCACCTGCGCGCTACTGACTCTCGCTTTCGTGCCGCCCTTTCAGCCGAGTTCTGCGCCGCAAACCCCCCCCCCGATGTACTTCACTCTCTATTTCCTCGTCACCCGCCTCCCTGACACTCTTAGCTCTGTCAGGGACCACTTCCTAGCGCTAGACCCCACCACTCTCACTGTCGACGACTTCGAGAAGCACCTCCTCGCAGCAGAGAAGAACATCCTCGCTGTAGGTGCTGCTCGTGGCACCCCTCACTCTCCCCTCTTTGAGGGGTGCTCCCCCTCCCCTCTCACCCCCTCCTACGCCTCCGCAGCTGCTGCTCACGACTACCTTGGTGCTGAGGGGGTCGGAGCTGCTTCCGCTCCTAGTGGGAAGCGTCGCAGCGGCAGGGGCGGCAGGGGTGGCAGGGGCGGTGGGGGTGGCGGTGGAGGTGGCGGTGGTGCAGGCGGCGGGGGAGGTGGAGGTGGTGGGGGTGGTCGTGGGGGTGGAGGCGGTGGAGGTGGTGGTGGGGGCGGCGGAGGCACTGGGAGCGGTGGAGGGGGCAGCAGCGGCGGTGGGGGAGGAGGGGGCGGTAGTGGCATTGGTGGTCAGGGCCAGCAGCAGCCGCAGCAGCAGCAGCAGCAGCAGCCGCAGCAGCAGCAGCAGCAGCAGCATCAGCGTCAGCGCCAGACCCCCACTTCCCAGCAGCTTCTTGACTGGTATGCCGGGCGTGGGGCTTCTGGGGGTCCTGGTCGCTGCCCCTATATCATCCGCACAGGTCCCCGCGCTGGTCGCCAGTGCACAGGTTTTCACACTGAGCAGCGCTGCTTCGCTCGGCTTAGCGACGCCTGGCGCACCAAGTTTCCTGATGCTACTGAGTTCCCCAACTGGGCAGACTTGCTTAGACGTGATGTACCTATCTTTGATCTTGACTATGAGGCAATTCTTGCTGCTATGTATGCCTTGTCTGTTAGTGCTAAGGGTGACTGCTACTTGTGTGTGCCGCCGGATCCTGGTATAGCCCCTGGTATAGCCCCTGCAGCACTAGGTGCTTGTGAGTCTGCTCCCCTTGGTACTGTGCCTGCACAGGCTTTGCACACATTTACACTTGACTCTGGTGCTTCCCGCTGTTTCTTTCGCGACAGTACCACAGTCACTCCCCTCCCTGCACCTGTTCCTGTCTCACTGGCTGACCCCTCTGGGGGCCCAGTGCTTGCACGGTCTTCCAGTGTGCTTCCGTGTCCGGCGGTCCCGTCTGGTGAGCTGTCTGGTCTCCACCTCCCCTCGTTCTCTACAAACTTGGTGAGTAACGCTGTCCTCCAGGATGCGGGGGTTGACACCTTCACCCCTGGTCGGCAGCGTGTGGCGATTTGCACGTGCTCCCAGACTGGTCGCCACCTGGCCACGTTCGCTCGTGCGCCAGGGTCCAGTCTCTACACCCTCACCACTGCGTCACGCTCCACCCCTTTGTCTCCCCAGTTGCACGACACTCTCCTGTGGCACCACCGCCTTGGTCACCCCTCCCTGCCTCGCCTATGCAGCATGCACTCCCGCTTCCTGGTTTCTGGTCTTCCCAGGTCTCTGCCTCCCCTCCCTCCCTCGCCTGCACCGCCCTGCATTCCCTGCGTCGAGGGGCGGCAGCGCGCCGCTCCTCACTCCTCCTCGTTCCCTCCCACAGAGGCTCCACTGCAGACTCTCCACCTGTGTGGGGCCCAGCCCGCGTCCGTGGACAGGGCCACGAGCGGTACTTCCTGCTGGTTGTCGACGACTACACGCGCTACACCACGGTCTTCCCCTTGCAGCGCAAGGCGGATGTCCCTGATGTTTTGATCCCCTGGATCCGCGCTACTCGTCTCCAGCTCCGCGAGCGGTTCCAGTCGGACTTTCCTGTCCTGCGTCTGCACTCTGACAGAGGTGGTGAGTTCTCCTCAGACCTCTTGGCAGCCTTCTGTGCGGA